GTAATAATAAAAATATTGTAATATACACATGATCTATCGAAAAAATGTATACAAACCAAAATTTAATAGGATCTAGATCTAGTAACAGTTATCTAGTAACAGTGCAAAACATTTGCGACTTTAAACAAATGTGCTCTTGAAGATCTTTTAACAGATGTGCTTGAAGGTCTATCTTAAGAGCTGGTGTATGTTTTTTTTATACAACTTAGAATGGCAAACAAGCTGACGGCCCACCTTATGGAAAGTATTCTGTTTCGCTCATAATACCCCCATGCATTGCCATTCCTAAGGACTCAGGTGTTATTCCTCTGTACTCTGTAAATTCACGCCATATCCCACCCTTCAAACCGAAACACAGCCATGCAAACACAACTGCTTCACGGTAGAAACATCTAAAAATCGTCTGTCATTGGTACAAACTTGCGGGCAAAAAGTTAATATATACAAATAATATAATCGCTACTCAAATTTCTTTACATATCAATAGATCTTATGATAGCCTTATATATCTACTACTATTTCAGTATTCAATATTCATATTTATAATTGTATCTCGAGACTTGACATAATCTATTTTATATGTACTAATTTCATAATTTTTTTTTAGAAAAGAACCATACTAAGGAAATAATAAAAACAGTTCTATACTACAGTTTACAGAACCATTATATTTGACGAAAGAGGATAACAACACAAAAATATTATGTGTGCAACTAAATTGTTACACAAACGGAACTAATAGAAAAGTAAAAAATTTAATCGATTTACGTTATTCAGAAAATTATTGTAAGTAGTTATTTGTATCCATCTGTTTAAATTTAACGTATATTTATTTTTGTTCAACGGCTAACTAATCTGTCACACTAATCAGCGGGTGCTACTAATTGTAAATTAATTATAATTGTTGAAATACAACGCTCTGAAAAACGGATAGACGGACGAAGTCACAAAAAAGCCTTTTTATCTTTATGGCGCGAAACTTAAATCGTGACTGATTTGATAATAATTCTATTACTCTCATTTTATATTATTTTTTAATTTTCGCTAATATAATTTTATAACTACAGAGGAGATTTAATTAACCAGTTTTCAATTATACGCGTTCGCAATTATCTAGATCGCCAACAGCAAACAATATTTAAATAAATCAAATTAATATTTTTTTCTCGGTTTTGTAGTTTTGAATACTTATTCAATAGATTATATAATATAAGGCGCGTATTAAAAAATAATCATATGCTAATATACCTAAATTATAAATGCTAACATTTTAAGATACCAACTTTTTAAAACCAAAAGTTCATCGAAATTAGACAAAAGTTGCACTTGTTGGATAAATTAGGTAAATGAAATTCTTAAATTCCTTTCTGAAATTTATAATTGTAAAAATTATTCGACAACAATATATAAACGTTCAATTATCCAATTTTATTTTTATTATCAATATAAATTACGACAATAATTAGTCTGGTTAATCACGTCTCCACTATATTAAAGATTTTATTTTATTACTTACCTATGAGGGAATAGTTGCTGGTATCTTCCTCTATGTGACATGTTCATTGACCACGATAAAAAGCAGTTTATATTCTTTTCCATTTCGATAATCGTAGTACTTTGGGATATTTACTATGCATAAACGCTTACCCAATTTTATGAAAAGAACAAACAACAAACTCACTATCACTTTTATAATTAGTATTAGTACTCGTTAGAATATGATGAAACAAAAACCACCCAAAACAAAATGTCAGAATATTTGAATCAGCCCTACTAACACATCCAATAGCAAAGATAGTGTGAAAAACTCTCTAGTTTTATCGTATGGGACGTAATTCAAACCTTTTTTTTTTGGGAATATATAATAAATATAAAAGATAAATTTACTAGTATAAATACAGTATTTACACAAACTAATTATTGTTACTGCTTACAGCACAGTCTACAACACTAGTAATGTTACTAGTAAGCGTACTCATTGTCGTAACGATCATCTTAGTGAGTATATTGTGGAAAAATGGTAAGAAAGACTGCATCGGAAAATCAAATGAATGTGTAAGTTTGAACTTCAATTAGTTCTTTACGTTTTGTTTTATAATCAGTCTTTTGAAATAATTTGTGTGATCTGCTTCTACTATATGAGATGGTGGTGCGATGATTATTAGTAATGAAGATTACTATTTTTAACAAGAGATATATAGCCTTTTTTGTCACCAAAAATTGTCATGATGGTAAACATTTTGAGTTGAGAACAATTTCAGCTCAGAAGAACGGGCAAGAATTTAAACTGTTACTACTGTTGCTGCAACAAGTTGTTTCACAGAGTAAATATTAGCTACTTACCTGCATAAAATTTATTTTTATTTCGGTATATACAGTTTTTGCTCTACAAAGAAAAACTGCTATTTCATTCATCACAAAATTAACTGCGACCACAGCGGTGCTTTAAGCCCGTCGAAGGCCCGGGGCGGCAAAATTGAATGAGATCCCGAAGTTGATGTAATTTTACAAACTTTTTACTCATTTCACATTTGTGTGTTTATTTTGTTGTGTTTATTAAGTTAAAAACTTCCAAATAAAAAATAAAAACAATGATTATAAAGTAATAAGTAATTCAGAGGACCCCTAGGATCAAAGGCCCGGGGCGCGCCGCCTTTTCTGCACCCTCGTTAATCCGTCACTGTACAACCAACACGGGAGTAAAACTTACCTATTGCAAAAAAAAATTGTTAAATCCGTATAGAATTGGTGTTGTAATCGCATAACATATTCGGTGAATCGTGTAAAACTTGTAAATTATAATTTTGTTTTGTGGAATGCCACTGTTAATGTAAACCTATGTCGGGTACTGTACATTTATAATAGTTATTTTCTACCCTTTATAATGAACTAGTGATCATGATGTTACTCGCTGCTAATGTTACTTACTATAGGTGAAGTATTTTTTAAAATCAGTTAAGTAGCTTTTGAGTTTATCCATTACAAACAAAAAAAAAAAAAAAACAATATAATCTTTCATCTTTATTATACTACTTCCTATACAAAGATAATTACGGTAACTCGTTACGAACTAATTTTACCTCTATGGGAATTTATTTGACCGATTAGAGCCTGTATTGCCTTGTTATATGTTTTAGCCATGCCACGACGCTACCCATACTCACTACGCCGACTTACAGTTCAACATATTACCAGCCAATAATGGAATCAGTACTCAACCAAATGAGCCCGTTCGTACGACGTCCGAAAGCCCGTATTCAGAAATAGTCGGTGTCATAGAGCCTACAATAAGAGTGCGTGACAATTAAATACATTAAAATTATGATTTAAAAAATAAAATTATGTACCCAAGAAGGTTTTCGATTATTTTAAAATTAAGTCAAGCGCAATGTGTCATTTTTAATTTGCAGAAAACTATAGTGTAACCGTGTCAAATGGGGGGAAAGAGACTACCCCTGGAGACTAGGAGGGAGAAGAGATTGTTATAATGAGGATTAGTAACCCCATTACTAGCAATTATTACCCCATTACCCTGTCAAGTTTACCTACGCATGGTTCCCCCTGAAAACCATCGTGTTCCATTCCATGTGAATTCATCACGATGAACTAACTGATCTGCCTTTTCATATTCACCTATCGTACCTCACTGGTACTCTGCCAGCGTATACCGTTAGCACAGGCAGAATTTTCAAACCCCTAGAAACTTTCGAGAATCATTCTCATCACGATAGGCCAATTGACCTGCTCTTATCTCACCGGTGCCCTACCAGCAATACTATAACAATAATATAATAACGTAGGCAAGATAGCTATTCTAATTTCATTCATTAAAAAGTAATATCCTGTTAATTTCTTTCATTCAAAATACAATCATCTACCCAAGCCAAAAAATAACAAACAAACGAATATACACTTTTTGGGTTTTACAAATAAGTAGGTAAATGGTACGTTCACGGTGGGCAGAGTGTAAAGATGGAGATACGTCCTTGGTTTACCATTGTAATGTTTAATGTTTAATCAGATGCATTTATGCTTATCAACTTTAAGCTTATCCTTTTATATAACTACAATCATATTAAAATCGTCTTAATTAAATAGACAAAGCCTTCTATTTGTGATACTACAGCGGAACTATTGTCCAAAAACATAATTAAAACCCTTGTAATGGCAAACGGTGAGCTAATGAATTTATTAAAATTAGGAACATTTCATATGGGAACGAACGATGGTGCTGCCTCTGCAGAGCGAATTAAGAACTAAATTTCCATTTTGAATGGGTTTGTACATATATATATAATTTTTAAACTAACAATTAGGAAGCAATCCTACTACATAAACTCCACATGATACTACTATTTTTTTATTTTTTAACAATCAATCCGATTATAACTATTTGACTTAAATTTTTATTTAAGCTTGTAAGACCCTACAGGGAGGTACATTTACAATTTTTATAAAGTGAAAGTAAATAATATGTTAATAGTTGATAGTGCACGAAGTTATTATTTATTATTTTTGTTCATTAATATCGTCTATAGCATACTATAAACATAGATTAAGTATATACAAGATAGTCGTACGAATAAGAACGTAGTTCTCTAAGTAGTCTGTGAAGATAGTACCTTTGGTGTATATAATGACTTAACTGTGGTATATAGTCTAAGAACAAGAAATTACATAGAAGGAAAGATAAAATAAAAACATTAAATTATATGGTTGCCTCCTTTCTTCTTATATAAACATAATTAGTAAAAAGAAGACGAAAGAGACCATCAATTGCTATTTTTCTCAATTCATAGTAGGCTAGTTTATAGTAAGTCTGAAAATATTTGTTAATTTACATTATTAGATTATTAATTCGACACAGTTTATATAGAAAGTATGTAAGCAGGTTATATTTGAATTTGGTAGGGTTATATGGACGTATAACATTTTCTATTTTACAGTTCTTAAGTATATAGTCTATTGCTTTGCTTCTGGTTTGTCGATTACTCTATGGTTTTGCATTGTCTATTTTTTGTTCATCGCACGCGGAAGTGAATAGAAATACCGATTTCCTTTTCCTATAGTTAATTTTCAAAAACATCAACTAGACTTTAAAATAATAATTATTTTACTTTTGTTACTAAGTTTCAGTTTTAGTTGTGTATATAGTGGTGTTTTCTTATTTAGAGTTCTTCAAACAATGGAAGTGTTCGGTGATATATTAAATGTACGCTCTGTAAAAATGGAAAATTCAGAGAATGGATTCGACGAGGCTCCCGGCGAAGAGTCATCGGATCCTCTAGCTATGATACCACAATACGTCACCGAGAGTGATTTAGGTAGGTTAATTGCACTGTATCGCCAATGATACCCAAGATTCCAAGGTTCCAATGTCCATCCTTGCATGTATACTCGCCAACTTTCCGGTAACATCATATGTGATTTCTGCGTTATTACTTATATATTTCAATAGTTATTTATACTTCAATTACTGCTACCAAATCAATCAGTTTTATTTTGTAACTGGCTACTATTGTATAACTGTTTAAAACTCCTTGGAGTATGTCATTGGTGAAGTTTGGAGTCAGTGGATAGCACTGCGCGCGTTGTTTTCAATTTGAAAAAGACACAATAGGTGGGATCCAAGAATTTTTCAGGAGTGGTCACAATAAGAATATGTTGATTTTATTAGTACACCAGACATCGTGGAACATATAGTACCATATGTTCTATGATTTCTGGTGTACATGTTCTTAAGCAACAATTACCATTTCACTACCTGTAAACTGTATGCCACAAACTGACTATGTATGAGTACCTGTTTTGCTTTTATGTTTAGTTATGCATGCATGGTTGTCTTTCGGCTTGAAGGATTGTGGCTCTCTAATTATAGAGTACAGAAACATCTTAGATTGAGGGGTAAGGTATTTTTAGTAATGTGGCCTTACATTCCCATAGATAGCAACATATCAAGTTGACTTCTATGCAACTCTCTCTGGAAAGCATTGTCATTGACTATTCTTTAATTTGTCACTTTGGACCAATTGATATGTTTTCACCTATAATCTCTCACTGGCACTCCACTAGCTTATAACTATAGTGCAGACAGCATTACCATTTTGCCTGCACTTATTACAAAAATAAATTCTTAGACCAAGGGGAGAACAGAGAGTATTGAGGATTAGCAACACTATTGCTAGCAATACATCCTACTAGATCAACTTTCACGCTGATCTGCCTGGAAAACATTGTGCTTTATTGTTGTTAAATTTGTCACTACAAGCTGATTAACCTGCTTTCATCCTCACCTATCATCTTTCACTAATACCCCTCTAACATATATATCAATAGCATAGGCGAGGTTAGTACTGCATTATCGCCCAGAACAAGGCCAATAAATGTTATTGGTTAACTCTGATCCCCCCTGTTACATATTTTCTTGGGTTCCCCCACGTGGATTTCAATTTAATATTTGAAGATGAGTACGCAATGTGAATATTTTCAAAGAATGACTGAAAACAAAAGCAAAGTGTGAGATGATCCATATCATAAACAAATGTCAAAAGTGACAATACAGAGATTGTTTAAGAAACATATGATGCATACTAAACAATCCTTTCTAATTATAATTTACGACACCCCCCTCCCCCACTTTAGAATGTGTTCCAAAAAACCTGACTTCAATTGTGACAAAACCAGTTATTATTATTTAAAAACTAAAGTACTGAAATGATTTTTATAAAATTTCTATGTGACCAATCTGTAAATATATCCTTACAGATAAAAATAAGAATTTTCCAAATCAGTTTACAATTGATGGAGTTATGAAGTAACAAAAATAAAAAAATACAACCAAATTGAAAACTTTTGAAAACTAAATAATGTTTCAGGTTTAATACAATCGGGCACTGAAATTCTACAGACTCCATTGACAGTATTTTCGGATACACCAGATGAAGATGACACCATGCAAAGCAATGATTCAAGTGGTGAGTATATAGTACATAGAGACACTCTTTAACTGATAAAAGTTTCCCATTATTTGTATTTAGTACAAGTCATAGTTTTTGCCTTGCAAAAAGGTTAAAAGAAATGACACATTGGAAGTTTAGCTGAAACTTTAAGAGTTGTTATTATTTTAAAGTTTAACTTTGTTACACATATTTTAAATTCACATATTTGGTCCTGCTGTGACCACGACATAGTGCTATCCATATCGCAACCTCAGCAAACAAAACAAGTATTATATATTTATTAGGTACTATTTACTGGTAATGACATCATGTTAACTCTTTGCGCTCCGTTGTCTCCGCTACGGAGCTGTCAGTCATTTGTTCCTTAACTGCGCAGGCTCCGTTGCGGAGCCCAATGTTTTTATAATGAATATACATAAGATGTTACGAAATTGTTGGCGATGGCAATTGTTATCTGTTGTTAAAACGTTCTCAGTCTTTTTACTGTTAGGATTGAATAATTTTTTTACCCATTTTGCTGTTAGCAGTATGGAGAAAAATAATTATTGTGATGAGAATATAGATTTGAGTGATATTGAAGATGTGTTGGTTTTTCCGATGTTAGAAGATATTGTGGAAGACAATATTGATTATAATTCTGACACTTCAAGTATTGATTCCGAAATTATACTACCAAAGAGATGACGAATGATAGTTATTGAAAGTGAAAGCGAAGAATCGCAGGAAGAATTAGTTGACACTTGCCAAAGTAAACCGAGAATGCACGTGGGAGATTGTTTCGAAAGGTATCACACCATGGTGAATTATAAAATTTAAAATTTATCTCTCATTGACAAGAAGAGACTGCAAATGTATATAATAAATAAAACCTCATACATTTACAAGCACGTGTAATTTTTCTCACTTAAAATAAGAATCCTTCTTTTCGCTCGTTTCGCTGCGAAAATGTGCCGGAGTTGCTGGTAGGCTGAGGAACAAAAACATGCGGAGCGCCAAGGGTTAAGTCTTAATCGTGAATTTCAAATACTTGAAGTTTCCTATAATGAATTTAATTAGTATAAATTGAATCATATCAGATCAGGATTAGTATGACATAATCTGTACTAAAAAAACTAACAGTCTGTACTAAAAATTATCCGGATAATATATTATAATCGGGATTTATGTCCAATTCTTTTACTGTCACCGCTATCAGCCTTTGGAATAAAACCCCTGTAGATCTACGCAGAGCATCAAGTAAAGATATTTATAAAGGAGGACTTTTTAATTATTTGTTGAGCCAACAAAACCAGCTCTAGTTACAGGTTACTCAATAGTTATTATATCTCATAATGCTTATCGTTGTTTTAATTTATGTATATGTATGTATATATATATATTTTTCACCACATCTGCCCTTCATACGCTTTCTGTTTTAACCCAATGGTAGAGAATGCCATATGGCATTAAGCTCGCCATTTGTACAAAATTTTATTGTGCAATAAAGAATAAATAAATAAAATAAATTGTTGTGTTATTAAAAGTGTTTGTTTGTGTTATTAAAAGTGGTTGTTTGTGTTATTAAAAGCAATTAAATTTATTTCCCTCCAAACAGAAGAGATGGTGGTGCAACTGATGGACATTCGCACGCGTTTGTCGAAGCTGCGCGCAATGTTGGAGAGGCGACTCGGTACTGACCTCTCTGACTACACCTTCTGGCTGCAGGATGCTAAAATGGTGATAATTTCTAGAATGTTATTATTGGTGATGGATGGATGGATCTTTGTTCCACTTTCATGCAATAACTACTAAAGGGATTTTAATGAAATTTGGTACATTGGTAGATTATATCCTAAATCACATATGATACTTTATGTACTGATTCACCAGGATATTGCCACTAGATGTCTAGTATAAAGTATGCATAATTTTTATTAAGTACTTGTCTCATGTGAGTGTCGTGAACCATCTGAATTAATGGGAGTTTCACTATTACCCAGTTATTTATTCTTATTTTACTAGCTTTCACTCACTAGTTCGTACACATAGATTTCAGAGGTAGGAAAACCAATGAATAAACCATTTCTAGATGCAGTGCAATGCAAGATAAAACATAATCCAGATTTTAAGTTAAACCTTCAGGAATATTACTGAAAATCGCATTTAATTGGTGCAGTAGTTTTTTTGTGATGTCAGAACAAACATAAAGACACATAGACAAAATTTTTAAAAATAATAGTTTTGAAATCTTATTAAGAGTTCCCTTATTAATTTTCTTAAATATATATTTCGCCGTGTGTGCCCCGGCATAGAATGGGTCACCCCTTCTTTTTCCATAGGTGTCGTAAGAGCCGACTAAGGAAGGGCGAAGGATGGGCGGCAGCGATTCTCTTACAACATCTCTAAAAGCCTAATTACGGTTACCAACCCGCCTGTCAAGCGTGGCAACTACTGGCGAAACTCCCCTTTTGGGGAAGGCTTATGTTCAGCAGTGGACAGTTAAGGGATGAAATAATAAATTATATATAAAGATATGGTTTGGTTATAATTAGTAAGATTTTACGTTGACGTTACGAATGAACAGTTGGAGAATCACAAGACATTGGTGGAGCAATGCATCCGCGGCGAAGGTGTAGTTCAAGTAAATGTTCAGGTGCGCCCCGCTGACCGCAAAATCAATATTCTGGACGTGCTGAAGCCAGATGAAGAGCTGGTGCAAATTCCCAACGAACTTGACGATCAATGTGAGTCTATTGTTATGGTCTATTTTTGCTAGATCTGTTACGAGGTAAATGGGGATAAACTAAATTAGTTATTCAATTTGTAGTGACTTTGTTCTTGTAATCATGGTACATCAAGATTCATAATTTGATTTATACTCGTAAGTGTATAATGAATGAATGAATGAATGGTTTATTTTCTCTTCACAAAAGGTAGTATAAAGTGACAACTTGAGGTACAATTTGATATGAAGACTAGTGCTTGCGGTAGATTTTGAAAAACCTGTGTTACAAGTCACCAGTGCCCCATCTCCATGGACTACACAAATACAAGGCAATTAATTAGTGTTCACAGATAACAATAATGAGATATAAAGTGCAAAAATAAACTTAACATTAAAACTTATTTCTAATAATTATTATTTATATATAAATTAGGCAAAGTTAATTACAAAACACAAACTATGTGTGCGTGTGCGTGTGTGCGTGTGTCTGTGTGTGTGTAATAAAATAATATTACGTCGTCAATTTATGACTTGTCACGATTCAGTTTTTATGTAAAATATGTTTCGACTACCTCAGTGATACAGCGATAGGCACGATACTTTACATAAAAGGTACCGGGTTTAATCTTGGTCAGGCCAATTTAGGAAAGTACTTTTTAAATTGCCATGTGGTCCCTTCATAGAATGGGCCACCCACTTCCTTTCCCATGGGTGTCGTAAGAGGCGACTAAGGGAATTTAATGGCCCAGGGATGAGCAACAGTGTCCCTCTTAAAACATCAGCAAAGCCTAACTGTTGTTCCCGATCCGCTTACCAAGCATGGCAACTGCTGATAAACCCCCTAATGGAGAAGCCTATTTTCAGCACTGAACCATTAACGACTTATATAATAATCCTTATCTAAATTGGCTCAACTCTGTGTGCCCCGCCCTATTGACCTACTATTTGTTAGCTAGTTTCTCTTAACAAAGTATCCTGATTTGAGAACCAGAAAATTGGTATGATTATGTGACTTATTCATTTATTCGTAATTGGCAATATATCATAAGGGATTGTTGAGGATTGTTTGTAAAAATGTGATTTTTACTTTTTTGTAGATATCGAGCTGGAGGAGCCGATGGTGGAGGATACGGACGAAACGGGAGTGGAGGCGGCGGCAATAGCAGGAATGGTATCGGAGACGGGGACAGATGTCCCCCACGCGGCCACTGTCAAGTGGGTAGTGGACGCGCAGTTCAAGAGCGATCACCGCGTGAAAGTGCCCGACGACCCAGCGCAATGGTTGGTCTTATTACTTGTACTTTATTATTATACATAATGCACAGATTTTTTTATTAATTACCTACTTTTGCCGGTCGGAATCAGTATAGAGAAAAGCTAGTGTCCAACTTGTATATATTTATAGAATATTTATACATATTATTAACCTGGCGCTGTACCACGTTTCATGCAATCCATTCAGTTGTTTAAGCATTACTAAATAAAAAATATCCAATCTTTATAAAGATTACGGTTATAATAATAGCAAGATCAGAACTAGCTTCTACCTAAAGCGTTTTTTAGAAAGGTGGTCGGATAGGTCTCACAATGCGTGTGACTGTACATTCAACGTCATCGTATCTACTTTTAACTGTCCACTTCTGAACATAAGTCTCCCCCAAGGGGGGTTTTGCCAGTAGTTGCCATGCTTTGCAAGCAGGTTGGCAACTGCAGTTAGGCTTTGGAGATGTTTTAAGAGGGACGCTGCAGCCCATCCCTCGCCCTGCCTTTGTCGCCTCTTACGACACTCATGGGAAAGGAAGGGATGGCCTATTCTATGCCGACACCACACAGTAACTGGAACGGCACTGTATATTGCTTGACTGATATAAAGCGATCTTATTTAAATAAGTGTATTTCTCCAAAATTGGTTGGGTCATTAAGGTGCTAAGAGGTAACAAGCAAACTCAATTTTAGCTAGATAGATAAAAGTGAGTTTGCTGTGTAGTAGCGATATAGATATCTCGCTCTAACATATGTGCTGCTACATATTTTTCTCTTTTATATTGCCTATATATTCTTATTTTATATATGTATGGTTCCAGGTCAGTGCAACACGTGAAGCTGTGGGTGGTATGGGCTGTGCGGCAGTTCAACCTGGCTGGCGTGCGGCTCGCTGACTGGCAGCTGTCGGGTCCCGAGCTGTGCGCCCTTACCAACGCGCAATTCAAGTGCGTGTACTCATTTCTAGTATAACATTACTAGTTTTCAACAACTTCAAAAAGAAGGAGGTTCTCAATTCTGTTGTATTTGTTTTTAAGTTTGTTACCTCACAACTCTGTCAGTTCTCTCATATCTCTTCATGTCTGAAACGATATATTTATAGATTTATCTGATAGTAATTTTATCAAAATCGCTTCAGTTATTTAGTGTTTAAATTAAACTAACTGGTTTTATCACAATTGAAGTTGAATTTTTTGTGGTACACTATTTTTTTATTTACCAATATTTGTGTTACCGTGATACGTCGATTGATCATGATAAAAAGTAGTTTGTCCTTTTCAATCCTTAATACTACTGTGTTTAATGACTATTGTTTAACTTGTTAAGACACTAAGAGCTTTTTTTATAGATGATAATGAAATAGTAACCCCACCCGCGCTATCGGTATACACCGGTGGGGCATCAGTGACGGATGATAGATGAGAATGAAACAGGTCAGTTAGCCCATCGTAACGAATTCAACGAGAATTGTTCACGATGGTTTCCAGGGAGATCCTCGTGGAGGTTAGGGCATATTGCTAGCAATGGGACTGTCAAACTCCATTGTTAACAGAGCTAACAAACTAACAAGTTCATTTTCGTGTTTATTATATAAACACGAAAGTGAACTTGTTAGATTGTTAGTGATACATCTTATACCCGCGACTTCGCCTATGTGACCGGGGTATGTTTGCAAACCGGTATAAAGATTAGCCTATATCCTTCTCCATCTCATATAATATGTGTATACCAAATTTTATAGTAACCGGTTAAGCCGTTAACACGCTGTAAGGTGTTAACGGCTTAACCGTATATACGTATAATAAACTCAGTTCTCTTATCGTTTTGCAATATTTTTTGTCTGTCTTCTGTTTAAGCACCCTACAACAAGTTACAATAATGAGAATAGGCTTACAATACTTAAGCAAAACCATATTAACATATTTCTTACTGTCATATATATTGTTGATGCACTATTATTGTGTATGCAAATAAAGCTATTCAGTCTTCAAAATATTGTTAAATGAAAAATTAAGTATGTAGTTTCAGCAGACGTCGTTCTGTCAAAAGCTTTTTAATGGATGATAATGGAATGATAGCCCCGACTGCGCTAACGGTGTACGCTGGCAGGGCACCAGTGAGGGATGATACATGAGAATGAAACCGCCTGATGATGATGACCATCGGTCGGGGGAGGTCGACCTGTTAGGGTATATTGTTAGCATTGGGAGTAGTAATCCGCATTACTAACAATCCCTCCCCCCCTCTCCCTTAAAGTCAAAAGTTATTGTACTGTAGCAATCCATTTACAAATACTTTTTATAGTAAAAAGAAAATGTAGTTTTTACGTATTTCCGAATATTTTTTTTTAAAAGAACTTCCCTTTTCATTAACGAATATAAAAAAAAATATTGCAGAATTGGTTCAACTGCTTACGAGTTTTGCGCACATTTAGCGATTCATGTTTATTTATATAAATAAATGAATTGTTTTAGAGAGAAAGTACCGTCGGACCCTGGGGATTTGTTCTGGACACATTTTGAGTTACTGCGCAAATGTAAATTTATTGGTAAGTTTGTTGCGAATTCGATTCCTATGCAATACTTTAACAAATCTTTTATATTTGATATGTATCGAGTGTTTTTGATTATTTTAATCAAAAACACTCGATACATATCAAAGTAGAGCAATATTATTATATAGAAAAGCATTTACTGCGCAATTTTCATTGCCTATTTGTTCAAGTTTTAATTGCCACGAACTGTTCAATAATATTCGTTCACCTTTGTCCAATACTACATATATAAGACATCTCATTCATTGCCTGCAGCTGTGGTGCAAAATGATGAACCTATAAAGGATCCGCTGGAGGTGCCGCAATCCGCCATCAAGAGGAAACCCAAACCGGTAAGCGTTGTCTAAAAATTATTAAATATCTTTAGGAACAATACAAAATAGATGCGGCAGGCGAGCGTTACACACACTTTTGCATGCATTTTGTGCTGAAGACATCTAAAGCGTAAAAATGAGTACGTTGCTTTGCGTAAATTAGGACCCTGGTTCGAAAATTGTACAATGGCAATTTAGAAAATGGAAAGTAAGCAAGTGTTTGGAGTAGTGCCCCCAGATGGTCATTGCCTGATTCCTCTTAACACAAAGTATCCTAATTTAAGGACATCAATGACGTATTTATTAATATTATTTTTCAGTTAAAAAAGACGCATGTGTTTCTCTTAGACGTGTCTTTGCCTATATTTTTTTTTATATATGATAATGGAATAGTAATTCCGCTCGCGCTAACGGTATACGCTAGCGGAACACCAGTGAGGAATGTTAGGTGAGAGTGAGTGAGTGAGTGAGAAAGACTCTGTTTTCCGCGCTTAGCCTCTCATTTGGGCCGTTGTGCGTATGAGTCGTGGCTAGTACAGCCAACCTAGCTCCGCCCAGAAGCGCAGAAGCTTCCTGGGTTTTTCACAGGCCTCACGGAGCGACCTCACCGTTCCGAGGATTTCTAAACGTTGATGGGCCACAGCCTCACATTCCAGGATTACGTGAGCAGCCGTTTCTTCAGCGTCAAAACAGCCTCGACATAGAGGGCTGTCTGTGGCTCCTATTGTGTATAAATGTTTGTTTAATGGACAATGGTCCGTTATTGTCCCTATCATTATTTTGAGGTTTTTTCCATCTAGATGTAATAAACGTTTTGATAGTCGTTGATTCAACGTAGGTACGGCCAATTTTGATTGTCTGCAATCAGTAGCCTGTATCCATCTTTGGTTTTGTATGTCAGCGGATCTTTGACGAATCCACATTCGAAATTGCGAGAACGGAAGAGGAAGAAGTGGATACGGGCCTACTACCCTCGTTCCTGAGCCTCTTCTAGCCAGCGGCATCGTTACCATAAGATCCACTGTGCCGTCTTATCCATTGGAGGATAACTCGGTTATTGGAAGATATCCTATCCAGTGATCGGTGGCATTCAATTATCAATTTGTTGTTTGTCTTGTTGTTTCGTAATGCTTTTAGTACTGCTGCGCTGTCAGATAAGAATCTAATGCTAAAACAATTTATTCCTAGCTTATGTACAGCTGCAGCAGCCTCGGTTATTGCAACACATTCGCATTGGAATATTGAGCTGTGTACGCCAAGCGGTATGTGCACGTTTATATTCAGGTCTGAAAGGAAAAGACTCCGGCCTGAACCGTTCTCAGTTTTGGAGCCATCGGTGTATATGCGTAATTCATGTACACCGGATTGGTCCTTTTCCTCTTCTTGAATTTGTATTTGGTATTTTTTGTTAAATATATAATGATTATGAGTCCTGTCACACGGAGCCGCAATCAAAATCAATGTTAGGTGAGAATGAAAAGGGGGACCACGTGTATGTCGACCTGACAGGGCATATTGCTAGTAATAGGACTAATAGTCCGCATTACTAAGAATCCCCCCTTTGCTTATATTGAAGGATTCGCTCACATGCTGGGGTGAACACCAGACAATTCTGAGGTAGGCACGGCCCACTCATCCACGCTTTAAATGCGCCTATTAATTATTTGTGTATATTCAGGCGGGCGTGGGCGTGCGCGGTGCTGAGGATGGGGGTCCAAGCGTGACGGCACGCAACGGCAACAACGGGCAGGTGCAACTGTGGCAGTTCCTGCTCGAGCTGCTCACCAGCGCGCAGTACTATAACCTCATACGTTGGCACGGTATGTCATCACACGTCGCCGATATAGATTTACCTTTTGACCACTCCACTCGGATTTACGCTCCACACGCACACGGGTGCGCATACACGTACACACTTACGCATACACACAGAGAGATAGAACACACACAGTTTAATACACAGACATACATACCATCCCCTGATAACGCTTAATGTCTCTGGCAATGTACGTACCATACTTACGTCGCAACGTCTTATCTCGCGCCACGGGGCGCTGCCCTGTGATGACATTGGTGCGAGTGCGTGCCAAAGAATGATGAAGATTACTTTCGAATAAAGTCGAAACTATATCGTTAAAAATGAACATAAGTTTTTACAATATTTTAAAAGCATTTGTCATACTGATAAATATGAAAAAAGTACTACATGCATTGCTCATTGGGTCAGTATATGTTTGCAGGGTATCTGTTTCATTCGTGTTTCCATGCCAACTGCATGGAACTGCTTTGTTCAGTTTAAAGAGTGAAATATAAAAGTAAAATTACAGGGTATGGAGATATAACATCTTAGCACTTAGGGGTGGCAACTCATGGCAGGTATCATGGGTGTGACAGTGTATTCTATGAGATTCTATAATGTCGATGGTGCTGTTCAGGTTTATAGGCGACAGGGACCGCTTTTAATCAGGTGGGATGCCACATAGTTTGCCATTTGAGTTGCATAAAAAAAAATTATAATATTTTTACTATTTGACAGGTTCTGAAGGCGAGTTCAAACTGCTAGAACCAGAAAAAGTGGCAGCTCTATGGGGAGCCCGGAAGCACAAGCCCGCCATGAACTACGAAAAGCTCTCGCGCGCTCTGCGGTATTACTACGATGGGGATATGATCGCCAAGGTGGCCGGCAAGAGGTACAAAGATCACTAGTTATTATAATAATTAATCTTTTGCTCAGGTATTTACTCCATACAAGTTATTTTTAAATATATATAGCTTTTGCCCACAACTTCGCACGATGGATGCTAAAAACAGATATCCAATTCTGGATGACGTATCAAAATAAAACGTACACCACATTTTAAGTAAGACCTTCAAAAACACAACTGTAATGTTTGAATGAACAGATAAAAATTGTAAAAAATATTATCTGTTACTCTTACTATACCATAACATATATACATATCGGTCACGCTTGTCTTCCATTAAGGTAAGCAGAAACAATGGAACGCCAAATGTTTCCATACAATGTCAGCCATTAATTGTCCTTTGCTGAACATAAGCCTCCCTCTATTGAGGGGTTTTGCCAGTAGTTGCCACACTTAACAGCTGGGTTGGCAACCGTATTTTGCCCTTGGAGATGTTTTAAGAGGAATGCTGCTGCCCATCCCTCAACCGATAAGTTCCCTTAGTCGGTTCTTACTACATCCATGGGAGAAGAAGGGGTGGCCTATTCTATGCCGGGACCACACGGCACTGTTGCTCTTATTAAGACATAATTATTTAAGAAAAATTTTTATGATGATAATTTTTTTTTTTCTTTAATATCTCCTATGTAAGTACAAACGACTCATACTTAGTGTCCATAATACAAGCTCTGCGGGAGGAAAGGGATTGTTAGTAATGGAAACTGAGAGTCCCATTGCTAGCAATATACCCAACCAGGTCGACCTCGCGGTTCTCCTTGGAAACTATCATGGTTATTTCCTGATTAATCCATCATGATGGGCTAACTGGCCTGTTGTCATTCTCATCTATCACCCTTCACTAGTGCTCTGTCAGCGTATCTCGTTAGCGTAGGCGGGGTTACCATACCATTTTCACTCATCAGAAAAAAAGACAAGCTCTGCTTAGTTTGGGACTAGATGATGTTGAATCATCAGAGGTAGACTGTACAAAACTGTTCCATTCGTCTTTCTACCGTGAAACAGTTGTGTTTGCATGGTCGTGTTTCGGTTTGGATATGGCAGTAAATTTACAAGGTACAGAGGAGTAACACCTTTGTCCTCAGGAATGGTAACGCATGGAGTGTATCATGGGCGAAATAGTATATTCTGTTATATCCATGGTGCTGTTCATGACTATCGACGACGGTTACCACTTTCCATCAGCCGCCAGCTTTTCGTGAGCCGACAGCTTGTTTGCTATTCTAAATTGCATAGAAAAAATGTTGTTTTGTGTTGTATGTATGCAAAGGATTTTGTTAATACATCGAAGTATTTATCACAATATAATAGTATTATTATTGTGGGCAGGTTCGTCTACAAATTCGTATGCGATCTTCGGCAGCTGCTCGGTTACGGAGCCGGTGAACTGGCAGAACTCGTGCAAGAGCTCCATGATGAAGAGGCGGCGGAATCGCACTGACCACGTTATAAACATGATGCATAACATCACATGACTAAGAATAACCTCCAACGTTTTTAATGTTGCTAATTATTGACCAACCAACCAGAGATGTAAAAATTATGACCATAAATGTGGTGCAGACAGTTTTGTAATTTAATCAAGTGGCAAGTCGTTTAATAAATAAGTGGTCGTTACGTTACAAAAAGCTTAACTGTAAAATAAATTTTTGACAATTCATAACTGCCATATTTGTTTTATACTGATGCAGCTTGTAGTACTCGCGAATTTAAGACTGATCTCTGACTAAAATTTTGTTTTTATGTTTAGCTGCTTAATCGCCACTCGTGTAAATTACAAAACCGATACAAATAATAATTATCAGAATCGCAACGTCTTTAAGCTTTGTCGAATATTTAATAATAAAAAAGTTTATTTCATCTCCACAAATAGCAGAAAATGTACAAAGTACGTAAATATGTATGTTTATACAAAAATATTGTAACTCGTGGAATATATATTTGCGACAAATATTTGCGGCAGGGAGAGAGGGGCGGGAAGTGTTTACTTGTATAGTAAAAGATAGCATTATTACTTGTACTATGCTTACATAAAAAAAAAAAAAACAAGTCGACTGTATTATTCCTACAGTGAAGAAGCACTAGATATGTTATTCATTTTGAAGTTTATATTAAAGAAGTTTAATTTACTCCTTAAGATTGACAACTCATGTCTAACATTTGTAGTTATACATTATATGTACTAAATGTGTTTTTTCTTTGAATCTTATATTAACAAGAGAAAAAATTACAATTTGTGATAATGTTATCTCACCACATTCCTCACGTAAATCTGTTCTAAGAATATAGCTTCATTAGCAAAGATGAATTGTCGAGCATTTTAAAAAAATCGGTGATTTGGTGGTGTATCAGTAGACTTGGAATATTAGTTTCCCATCTACATTTTGTCCGCCTAACCCCACAAGGGATCTGATGTTAATATAAAAAGATAGCTAGAAAGTTTGCTTATATTGTAAAAGATCGAGCTACTGAGCTGATGGGTGATATGTAAATAACAGTGAATTATTAATAATGCTATTATGAATAAATATAGTTTATTACTTGTTTTTCATTATTGTGTTTTAATTGTAATGCCCAAAAATCCTTCAACTGTCAATAAAACAAGTCTCTTATATTGGTGTTATGAAATGACAATTATTAACCCTTAAATACCTGAAGTTTCAAATTTGATACCGGGGTTATAAATCGCATTGGGTGCCTATAATCGATTTTATTTTAATATTTGGCTGTTTGCATGTTACCAAATGTTTTTTTTTTAAATGAATATATAAAAATATCGTTTTCATTTTTTCTTTACTATTTTTCCCCATTAGTAAACACAGTAAAAGTATAAGTGTACACCTATCCCCCGATTTACACGGTAGATACGTTCCTAAGAAAAACGTGTAAATCGAAAATTTAAAATTTTCAAGTCAAAACCGTGTAAATCGAAAAGCTTGCAGAAAATGCATAATTTTGCTATTTAACAGTTGTGATTTTTTTCAATATTTTTAGGTGTACACAGAAATAAAAATAAAAATTTTCATTTGTTCTAATAGTTCTTATTGTAGCTTCGTTCATGTTGTATGATTTTGCAACATCTACTATTCTATCTCCCTTTCGTAAGCGATCCAAAATTTCGATTTTAGTTTCTAAAGTAATAACTTTTCTTTTAACTTCTTTCGACATTATAAGCCTATAATTTTTTTTTATTTATGTTAATTTATAAAAATCATAATTATGCACTCGCTTGTAATTTACGAATATGAAAAATTAAATCTTTCGGACACTGTGAAACTTTCACTCAAATACAATTTTCCGTAGATAAAACTTTAATTTTATGCGAAGAAATACAGACAGTGTGCATGTGCAGCAAGTCAGCACATAAGCTCGGGATTCCCCGTGAGATGTGTACACAGCGCACGTGTTCAAACACAGTAGCATTTAGTAGAGTGCGATAAAAAAAAAATATTTGGAAAACCGTGTAAAAGCGAAAACGTGTAAAACAAGTACCGTTTAAATCGGGGGATAGGTGTAATTTGATTTAAAAAATCAGGCTTTTAAGGGTTAATATATGTGTAGTATAATAATATATATTTCATATATATTATTATAATAAGTATTATAGATAAATATTGATTAATATTGTTATAATGGGTAATTTTTGGCACCGATTTAAATAAATAACCTCTAACGTCGAAACTGCCTCCATCTGAGGGATGTCATACAAAAAGCAAATTTTTTTATGCAACTTAGAATGGCATGCCCACCTGATCGAAAGTGGTAACCGTCGCCTATAGACATGAGCCCTGGACATAACAGAGTATACTGTTTCGCCCATGATACCCTCCCATGCATTTCTGAGGATTTCGGGTATTATTCCTCTGTACCCTGTAAATTCACTGCCATATCCCAACCTTCAAACCGAAACACAGCCATGCAAACACAACTGCTTCATGGTAGAAACTCGAATGGTACAGAGATATCCAAGCAAACGACTTTTGTACAAAGTTCCGTCGACTCATCGGTTTTCGTCACACCAAGCAGTTTCATTAGCCATCTTTTCAATGGAAAAGATAACGTTAACCATTGAACAGTGCTGCGATATTTGTCTCAAATTAAGGGTGGTTGGGGAGTCCTATGTTTAGCAGTGGACAGATAATGCCTGAAATAATGATGATGAAGGGTGCTTGATCTTGCCGTACAATAATGGACAATTTGTAGTCCTCAAAAATAATCAATCAATGATACAATATTAGTATATTATTAATTAATAATAATAATAATTTATTTCAAAATAAATGTTACATTTTAAATATAGGTAAAACTCTGCTCCCTAAATAGGTAAATCCTGTACTTTAGGATAAGCAGATTTGAACATTGTATGATTTTAAAATAAACTGTCCAAATTAGCTTTGACGGTTTTCCCTCAATATCAAGTAATTTATTAATAGGTAAATATGTTGTCGTTATGTAATTAAATAAACAGCAGCGTCGGTGTATCGGATGAATGTTAAGAAAAATATATCTACCGATATAAATTTGCCTGCTATTTATCAGGACTGATATCAATTCCAATTTACTTTCAGGTGATATCTATAAAAGGGTCTTTTATGAGTTCCTTTTTTGAAAATATTTGTCATAATACATAAAGCGTTTAAAGAAATCTAGTTTTTGTATTGATACTTCAATTAACCATAAATATTAAAAATAAATGTCGATTATGTTTTATTTACTTTCAAAAATAGACTTTTAATTTGAAAGACCCGATTTGCTCTAGGGTATTTGCGGAATATTAGACGAATAACACACATGATTTGTGTAAAAGCATATTTTATTTTTTTTATCTTATCAACGATCATTACATCAAGTTATTCACAGCTTTGGTCTATTTAGAGCGTACAATTCAAAATATAATTTGTCATAAGGTAAAATATTTTTTTTTCTCTAAAAAAATATGAACAAAAACAATATACTTTATAAACTTTTTATAAAAGAAAACAAAATTACCCGTTTGCTCGACAAGCAAACCTGGGGTTATCATAATGAAAAAATGCACGCTCTAGCAATGTTCAAAATATATCTACCTTCCCGCATGCCTTAACATTTATCTTAACTCTATGGTAAATAATAGTAAATATACGAAAAAAACCTTAAAAAAAAAAGAAAAACTAGCGATCCACCTACACGACGTGTGCGTACGAATTATATGGTTGTACTCGGATTTGTCGGACGACAAGGAATCGCAATCAAAGACTGGTTGTTGTTATTTCAGTTGGATAACTTTTAATAATTCAGTTGGAAATAATTTAGACGATGTCACGGACTCAGTTTTTATCTCTTACTTACTAATATTGTAGAGATAAAATCTGTTTTTGAACATGATCCGTACATACAAATTTTGGTACTGTTGACCCAATTCTATACTCCGTATGTTGTAGCATGGTGCATATCACAGGTGATATTCTGACAATTTTTACTATAAAGAAATTCAATTAAGTAAAATTTTTGAGGTCAATGTGTAATAATAATATAAGCAATATTTTTATTAGTGAAATGCATTTTAATGATTTTTTTAACCACACCTTGCTGCAACTTACGAAAATGACCCTGAATATTTATTTTAAACTCACAAACGATTTTGACTTTTCAGGGCGTATCATAGCTTATTTACACATTATTTTTAAACCTATACCAATATAAATAAATCAATATAATCATATTATTAAAATAAAAGTATATAAAAATTATCTTTTGTAAAGAAACATTAGAGAATGATTTAAAAGTTTTTGAGTTCACTGGAAATTATAATATAAACAATTACGAACAATATTATACAATTTATGATTGCACAAAATACTAGCATATTATTGTATTATAATTAGAAAAAAAATTTCGGCTCCTCACCTTCAAACGTCAATTCAAAGTTACCCAACATCATTACAATGGTGGTAATTTTTCTAAACTTAATTATAAACGACTTCAAAACAATCGCGCTGTCCTATTCATACCTTCGCGGCTAAAAAAGAACGTTAGACGCAATAATAATATCCAAAATTATCACCAGAGTAGTAAATCAGATTATCTTTGAATAAAAATTTTAAGCAATTCCCTAATCATCTGACAGTTCGAGACATGCAATGTGTACTATTTTAGTGAAATATTAACTCTGATGTTAAAAGACACTGATAACGATGTAAGTACGAAATAACTGTATTGCTTGTTGGCTCTTAAAGCCTCGTTTATTGAAAGATTGCGTTTAGGGCGCAGCTGATTTAAGGCACAAAACTACTATAAGAAGATCCAAATGACATACAGGTATATGAAGACGAATAAATTAAACAAAAACAAATTTAATGTTGATTTATCAAATGTAGCTTACTAGTATGAAAAATGTATATATACCAGATAAATTGCACATAAATATTTACAATATTTGAATTTTGATGCAGATATTCCCTTGTTCCGTTCCATTAAAGACGTCTAGAGCGAGATCTGTCATTAAAATACCCTACTAATCTCAATCTCCTGCTAATGGCATAGTAGTAACCACGTTATACTGCGTAAACGATTCCTAGGTTCGATTTTGTAAATAAAAAAAAATAGTACATTTAAAAATGTTTTAACATGTTGCGTTGTCTAATTACTTGCAGAACTAATTAGATGCAAATTCGTTCTAAACAAGATAACATCTATAAGAAGGAACAAGACACCAAATGTCGCCGTCACTTTCTATTTCATGCATACGACAACGAAGTATATAGGATTACCTATGTATAGATTTATTTGCCATTTGTTTAGACGACTGTCATCTTACATTTGGATCTTCTATCTTATAGATCGTAGTCAGTGAATATGTTAGAAAATATTTTGATTTTTCAATATTTACGAGTGCTATGCAGTGTGCAGTACACTTTACATGTCTCGGTCATATTTTTTACATAATCTATCAAGAAATGCAGACAATTCAGAAAAAAGATACAGCACCAAAAAGTAACTGAGGAGTTAGCCCAACAAGCCCACCTCCCTCTCACAATATTCTCGTTGAAGACTTAACTTTAATGATTTAAAAACTAAATGACTTTAAATCCGTCGGCCGTTTGTACATCGACGGCGGGTCGTTTAAAACAAGTGCACTATTATAATAATAATAATAAAGAAATAAAATTATAATAACAAAGCTATGAAGATTATATAAATTTTCCCTTGATACTTAAATAATGTTTTACTCTTAAAAACATATAAACATAATTTTATAATACGTACAGCTTTTATTCCAAACTCGCTATTTTCTATGTTGTAAAATTCCATATTGACTTTGCATAAATTGTAATACAATTAAAAAAAAAACATACTCTGTGCCTTGTAGAATGGCGACAGCACATTTTGTCAGTTACTACTATAAAAGAACTGGATTCGAGTAAAATTAATGATCATAATAATTTAAGTCACTAATAGCCCGCACCGTACTTACTACATGGAGTATAATAACGCAAATTCCTCTATCATTAATTTTTCTATCTCATTTACACTTCAGCATTCCGAGAAATAATCGTAAATAAATTATTAGTTATTGTACCCAACTCCCAAAAAGGTTTTCCTTTTTTTAAATGTATATATTATTCTAAATCTTTTAAATATATAATCGGGACTTAACGCGATGTAAAAGCCTTTTACAGGTAAATAGTACCTGCTTCTTTATTGCTGATGTTTCGAAGTGGATTGCACCACGTCGTGGTGCGATCCACGTCGATAGGGCTGAAGTGAGCGGCGTCTTCGTATTGGCAGCTCGCACAATCTCTTCGGGTACCCTAACACTGTTACCGTTATTATCTAGAGCTATCCTATACACCGTACTCACTGTATCAAGTTGTCGTGTATTTTTAGTAAATTAATCACTGGTCTCCCCGTTCTGATTAAAGCCTACTATATCCATCTTCTTAATTTAACATTGACAATAAAGAAGCAATGTAGGTACTACTTACCTATAAAGGCTTTCATATCACGTTAAGTCCAGATTGTGCATTTAAAATATATGTAAACAACGCGAAAGTTTAAAATTAACTATGTCCAAATCGAAAACGGAATTTTTAGATTAAATAGTTTAACGGACTATAGTAAATAGAATAGTTTGTAATTATAATTAATATAGTTTACATAATTACAGTATAAATATAGCAGATAAAAACGTGGAAAATATAAAACATAACATAAAGGACTCCAGCTATAAAGTTGTCAAAAATTTGGATGTAGAAAGTGAACTGTCATCACATTTACACCAACTTGATGGCACAGTCACAGTTTTGTGGGTGTTTGGCTTTTCTACTAAGTACATGCATTTAATCGGTGTTGCACACTAAGTATTTTTGGTTAACGAAATTTAAAAGAAATGTAATCGGAAGGCGTGTATGCAATATAACAACATAATATTATAGCGAGTTTGAAAAGTACATTTTTAAACAAAAAAGTTATATTTTTTTTTTTAAATAATAGAAATTGTAAAACATTTTACTAATTTAAAAGTAAGTACAGAATATATTTTATGGTATATAGTAAGTATAAGCAAGGTGTAACAGAATGTAGATAATAGTCTCAAATTTTGCGGTTTCGTTTTGATGTAACCATGTTAGATACAATTTAACTTATTTCTAAATTAAACCACATCTTAGCTCAAAAACTGTTCGTGAAGCAAATAATGCAGTATGTGATTTTAATCCTTACTTCTTGATATATATTGTAATTTTATAAATATTGTTATATTAGATTATTCTCTTTCTATCTGTTACACCTTGTATACAAGCAAAATGTACTATAAAAAGCAAATCCCAACACAATAAGACGAAAAATATTATTATATCGTACGTAACAAGCTGTAGACTAAATTACAGTTTGTAAATTAAAACATCCGCCTTCGTAAATTAGTTGACGAAATGGGATGTTTTTTTGCGTCACAACAATTTAATCGCACGACCTATAACCTACACATACTTTTGAACTTTAGCAATAATTTGTCGTTGACACATGCAGTTCCATTTCCGCAACCGATTATATATTGAATAATTCCGTTACGAAAACAGATGTAATAATAAGTAAGTAAATTAAGTAAGATTTGTTAAAAGAAAAAACCAATTCCTGTCAATATCCTACAATTGTAAATACATCAAACCACACATTAGTGACGTAACCCAACGTCTATGTACAAAAGACCGAAATCCGACACGAAACGAAAAAACTTTGGCAAGACTATCCATTTTTGACATGTTGTGACGATTCGAAACTAACAAAACAAATTACAGTATCCTTACAACTACCCCCATTCATATAATTGCCACGTAAATTCGATAAAATATCACTGTTCTAATGATTTTATCAATTCCCATATTTATATCGTTTGGTGGCGGTCACGCGATGCTTGCAAATGGCAAAATTCGGACGCCGTCTGCACACGAAGTAGACCCAGTCACATCTGTCCATACACACTGTTCTAGAAAAACACTGCAACGTTTTTATTCCAGTATTTACCACCAATTTAAATGGTGGGCCTGGGCCTGGTTAAGCATAGGTATATTAATATATATTACTATCAAATTAAGATTTAATTATTAAAATTAAATGAAAATAACGTGTGACCACCACAATATCTATTACGTAAATATCATTCACTTTCAGACATAACAATAAATAGATTTAATAAAATATAAATATGTACTTTATGATTATTCAAAGACCTGCATTCGCGAAAAAATATTAAAATTTTTACGTAATTTCTTTTTTTATATTTGCAACATTAATGTATGATTATACTACAGTTATGCCTGAAACTGACAGTGGAACCAATTCTAAGACGCAATTTCACTAAATTTATCTCTTAATATTTGATAATTTTGCAAAATTACAGTTTTGTGGGCCAACATAAACATTAATTATAATATTTTTTACTTAAATCTATTAGAAAATAAGTTAATATTGGTCCTTACAATAAAGATCACAATATGATATCAAATAGAAATTTTAGAGATAGCTTTCGAGAAATGTCGCCTCAGAATCGACCTCAGTGAATGGCAAACCAAACCTGTACATGGTAACTATTCGTTTAAAACTATATGACGCATAAATATATATAATTTTTATAAAAAAAAAAACAACATACCTTAAAGTAAACAACATAATTATATCAGATTTTGCAGTAATATATGTATTTGGTATAGGGCAACTCTATGTAAACTTTGCGAGTTATACCCACGAAAAATATTAATTACGTCACGCAAAATGCTTACGCAATTATTAGATTTCCCTAACGGCCACATTCAAATAAAAAAAAAGTTTTTTTTTTTCTGTCCAAATGGCACGGCATACAGTGCATCCGCCAAAATCAAATACAAAAAAAGTTTATAAGTTATATCTAGTACGGCATAATGGTAACATAGTTATATTGAATAATTAAATAAACAACATTAAAACAACAGATTTTTACATATCGTTGCATAATATAAGTGGTCTTATAACGAATTAGTATTTCAATGATTTATACTTCTGAGAATGACCGCTAGGGAACATAATCGATGGAAAAATGTATGGGCCATTGTTTTAACGAGAATGTATAAGTGATACTACAGATTGCTATAACACGTCTAATTCATGCGCAGCTCTCCATAGCGGATTTCAGAGGGGCGGGGCGATCGTGTATTTACACCAGCCCATAAATATAATTAGTATTATACATAAACAATCTTGGTATGTCTTTTTACCAACATAACGGAGCATAAAACGAAAGAATAGCAATATTAAAAAAGAAGTTTTGTACTAATACATTATTATGAATCGTGCGATGAAACCGCTCGATTGTTTTTAATGAAATTTTGTACATGTTTGCTTCAACTTGAGTTTTTGTTCGTATGGCGGTAAAAAAAGTCCCGTTTTTAGAAAAGTAGGTAGAAAAGTAAAACTAGGATCAAAACAAGTAAATATTTGATTATTTTATTATGATTATAAAAAGACATTCTAAAGTTGTTTACTAATTGTAAAAAGCACAGAAAATGAGATTACATCATTTCTTCCCGCCCCTCCCTCACTCCACAGAACTGCTGAGTACGAACTTGACGGGCTATACATCTGATAATGAATAGATCTAAAATTGTACTTTTAATAATTAAATCTACATTTTCATTGCCCTATAGAAAATAATAAAAAAAAAAACTATAAAAATGGCAACAGCGTTATAGTTATTTATGGTTTGTGCTGTATATGAATAGTGCAGAAACATAGACTATATTTTTTTATCGCAGAGTTTGGAAAATTTCACTATGAATCATTACTATTAAGCCTCCAGTCGCGTCTGTTTGTACATCTGTAAATGGTAATCCTAAAAAGCAAAACATATTTTATAGTTTTCACATATTTGAACTACGGATTATGTAGAGGATAAAACAATTTTGAATATTCCCAATTGATCATTATCCTTAGTTACCAGAATAAAATTATTTTAATACAAGAAAAATACGTATATTTCTCTTTTGAATTTTCCAAATAATTTTTACGATTATATTTCAAAACAATGATAGTTTAAAAAATACCTTTATGATTAACATTCCCATATATAGTCTGTTGCAATGGAATTTATTGAAATAGTAACCAAATTGAAATCAGTAACAAATCGAAAAATCACAGGCAACACTGTATACTCTGGTACTGTTAATGTCTATTACAGGCGACGGTAATCACTTTTCATCAGATGTGGCATGAAAAAAAAAACTAAGTTTTCATGCAATTTTTATGGTGAAATAGCAGTAATACTTTAATAAGAATATCCTATGATTAAGCTATACGCTAGTTCACATAAGGCACTTTTTAAACTATCTTTGAGAAATACGTAAAATGTTAATTAAGTTTGTATTATGACAGCCAACATAGAGACCGCTCGCGTTGCGGTAGTAATAAACACTCTTTTAAATAATGGTTCAAAAATCTAAACAAATTACCAAATCGAATAGTTTGTCTCTGTTCTATTTGGCTATTTGTATTGTATTGTATGATAGTAACACTGTTGTAATTCAAGTTCGATGTTCATAAAGTTTTTACATGAATAATTTTGTTAATGTATATCCCCATACACATTCGAATGGAAAGAATCCTATCTGATATCATGATGAAATTTACATTACTTAAGTGGAGCTTATTCAATCAAATTACAAAGAATCCGAAGTTCACCGGTGGACCATCGCGTCTCACATTATGGTAATAAGAACACTATTCATACATTTTTCACTATTAATATACGGCACACAATATTGTTACCGATTATTATATTATTATTAAAAATAAAACTGTACATTGAAGAAAAACAAAAGGAAAGCACAAAATTTCTTTTATAGTAATTTGTACAATTTGAATATAGCGCGCCGCATTGCCTCAGATAAGATCTCGAGACGACGCGACGCGTGTGTGCGGCCGCTTGTGTACATTGCATAAAGCCCGATTTACATTTGAAAAATCAGTGGCATGAAACATCCATAAACTAGTTCCATGATAATGTACATCAGTAGTTTGTGTCGACTAACATTCGTAATGTATGCATTAATTTCACGACAAAATAGTTTCATGGTCCGCGCAAATCACGAAAGCGTCTACGCCAAAGCCTATGGCACGGATATGAATCTTTGTACAGTTAAATTTTCCAACCAACTGAATGACATCACAGCACTAGTTTTACACTTTAGGCAACCGAAACTAATTTTGTGTTAAATAAATACATTGGGTCCACAGTGCAAATCAGGCTTATTAGAAGAAAAAAAAAAAAAAAAACAAATCAATTATAACATATTAGATACCTATCGACTTGATTTGAAATTATCGATTGTTATAGGTGTCTAAAGTGATTTAGAAAACTTTATATGAAAGGGTTTGCTGGATGAAATCTCTTATTAGAGATAAGCTCGAGTACATTACGTTTAAAATATTTTTTTATAACACGGGAAAATCGAGCGTGCAGCGGTAAGTGGTTACCGCCGCGCATGATCACCCGCAACAGCAGAGATATTAAAGGTGTGCTGCCGGCCTTTTAAAAAGGAATGTGCTCTTTAAGGTGATGATATCGTATTGTTTCGAAATTACTGCTGCTGGAAATTGATTACAAAGTGGTTGCGCGTGCAAGAAACTGCCTTAAAAAACGCACAGTGGAGGACCGCCACTCATCCAGATAGTTGGGATGGAACTTTAGTTTGTGGCAGGTTGTATAGTGGTGAAAATCAGCAGCAGGTATCAATCCGAACAATTCCAATTTTACCATTACGTTTATGTACAATAAAGAATAAAGAAAAATATCTATGATCGAATAGGCCAAAATCAAATCTATAAACCTGGAATTTCCTGCTTGTGCAGTTTAATTTTTTTTTTTTTATTCATACTTAGAAGGACACACAAATCGCTGGTCTAGTCATTTATGTACAACGAAAGATGGCCTAGAAACTCTAACCAGAGGGCGCTACATGTGAGTTTAGTAGTTGTAGAAATGTCAATATCAATAACTAGCGTGGTTGATTCCGTTATATTTGATTCGTAGAATAATATATTAGAAGAAATTTAAAAATAATATAAAAATATTATATATAATGTAGGATTTATGCGATAAATATTATTAATAATGATACGTTTAGTTCCATCGCGGACCGCACACATTATTTATATTATAATTTATACAATAAAAATATATTATTATAAAATGCTGAGAGATTATCGTCGAGAATTTTTTTTTCTTCTTTTTATATATTTTTTTATCACCTTTGGAATGTCCCTCATCACTGAAGAATTCTAGTTATATCCTGAAAATAAAATGATTTAATTTGTAATTATATTTAAAAAGGAATAAAAAAACTTTTGGTCGTTAGTCTTCTAGGAAAAAAAAAAGTTTGTAATAGAACTGGAATATTTTCTTAAAAGGAGTATTTTCTTAAAAGGATGACAATGATTTTGATTTAACTCAATCCGGTATATTTGATTTTTTTATTAACGCAAATAAAAACAAGAGGTTTTTTTTAATATCCCAATCACTTAACATGTTGGTATAATATTAACTTCTCAACTTTCGCGTTGTATAAATTATGACTTACAATAGACGAGAAGATTACTGTTTTTATATAAAGAGAGCAACTCATGCACACAACACTGCGATAATAGTTCGATACACACACTATTTCGTTACCCAACAGTTTTTTTTTTTAATATAGCTGTTATCACTTTAGTTATCGTACCTCATATCTATGTACTAATTGTGGCCCGTTGTAATGTGGACTCTCGCTGTAGAAAAATGGTCTTTTCATTGTATTCTGCCCTGAAAACAAACATACATATAGATTAGAGATGGTGATGATAATGCTGATAATGCTAGTATAATATTACTCGTCGGGACTTATGCATGATTTTTTGAAGGGCTCGAGAATACCTTTTTTTTAATACCTATAAATTCAGTACATTAATAGTGAAGCTAAATAATAAACCATCCGACAATATCACATCAAATCAAATTAATAACTATCTTCAATATATCTATATATTTCTTTTTATTTATGTATCAAAATATACAAAAATGTTAATACTATTTAACAGTTTTGTAATTTCATTTTTGTGTCTTTAGAGAACTACGTGTGTACGTGTAGTTATAACAGAACTGTGTCTGAGAGAACATTTGTATACTTACAGGGTACGATCTGAGGTAAATTAAACAGTATAAAAGAGAGCAGAGAGATAAACAGATAATCAGGCTGCTAGAGCGACTGAGAACTCATCTAATCGTACGCATGAAATCTAAGGACTTATATTGAGGTAATGTTTTTTTTTCTCACTAACAATGTAGTGTATGCTTGTGCATGCATTATGTGTGCGCGTGTATGCATATACTTGTATACTTACAGAGCTGCGTGTGTGCGGCGAGTGCGTTTTGCTTGGCGATCAGCAGCTCCGGACCGGGCGGCCTGGACGCGGCTTCATAAAACCCGCCTGTAAACGAAGAAAACATTGCATAAAAATCTACTAGCGAATTAATGACTTATAATTCTGACTCTTGAACTAGCATTAATTATATGTTAGGACCTACTATGTGCGATGCCGTTTCCCCGAGGCGCTTCGGCTAGCACCGGGGCGCTAGTACATTCCTATCCCACCTAGATACCACCCCCTGCACGTAATGTGTATACAAGGTGCAGCCCCCAAATGAGCCTCAGTGGGCGACGTACACGTTGACTATTTCGAAGGACCAGGTGTGTAAACGTCACTATTGGCGAGCTCGATGACTCGATGGCACGATGATTCGACGTGGACGACACGATGACGGTGTACCAATGGCAAGATGACGACACGGAGTAACATGATGATTCGATGACACGATGATTCACGATGACACGGAGTGGTGAAGACCAATAAGGGATATGAAGAAGAATGGCGTTGAATAAAACGATAAATATCTTCAAGGATCCTATGACAGTAAGGCGAGGTACTAGCTTGCTGTTTCTTCTCTACTTCGCTCGGTTGCTCTTAAGAAGCCAACAAGACAAATTAATAGCGATCGATTATGCGCTGTTTATATACGTACGATCTGTGACTGGCCTGCGGACTAGTGGCAAACTTTGTACCTCATCTCCTCTATCAATTTCTTTATTATATAAAACAATCTATACCAGTGTTTCCTAATCTTATTGTGCCATGCTTCACTTGAACATTTCTAAAATTTTTATGCCCCCATACATAATTTTTCTCGACAAAGTTTACTTGACGACTCTAATCGCCCAATTGATATTTTCGTAACGTCAAACAAAATTATACCTAATAAATATTTACAATTTTTTTTAATTTACTTTTTTTGTTAAAATTGGCACGAATAAGAGGGTTAAAAACGTTTCAAGTCCATTTTTTAATTGCACCCCCCCTTAACTATCAAATCGCCCCCTTGTGAGGCGTTGGCCCCACGTTGGGAAACACCGATCTATACATTTGGCAACTTACAGCTAAATATAGGGCTACTTACTTTTGACAATAGGCATACTCGCTGCACGATGCGCGGCGCAAGATTAATGAATAATCGGCAAAAATCTCGATTCGCGGTTTTTATATGGCTCCGCTCTCTCCCTTATATAAATATAGCGAGCGGGCTCTCATTACGATGACGGATGCCATGTAGCGCACATTACAACACTATACTATGTTTTTATGGGATGCCTATGTTTTTAACTATCTATTTTATTTCTTTTGCACCTATTTTGTGCCATACAAAGTCATATTATGACCTATGTGTCTATTAGAACTATTTCCCTATCTTATTCCGCTTCCGCTATAAGTATACATTGGCTGGATACCAACGAGGAATGATAAATGAGGGAAGCAGGCCAGTTGGGTCATTATGATAATTTATACAATCACTATAGTTTATAGAGGGAACCGAATGGAGATTGACTTGAGAAATAAGAGCTATAGTCGCTGTCATTAATAATCCTTTCCTCCGATGGAAGCAGTAAGTATTTTACTTGAAATGTTTATATGCCATTTTATTTATATATGTTTCTCTATTTATTTATATGTTTACTTTATATATATGTTTCTCGTGCAATAAAGATATAATAAATAAATAAGCACCGACCTGTTAGATTGTTGTGTCCAGCAGGCGGGTAGTACGGGCTGCCCTGCGGTTGCATCGCGGTCTCGCATGCTGGAATAACAAAAATTATTCTTATTATTAATCTTCTCCAAGATCTTGTAGTTCAAATTTCCAATAACAAACTTGAATAAAAAGACTTCAATTCTCAACTTATTTGAACGTTATAAAGCCTAAAATTAACACCAACTACCTATGTATCTAAACCAATTACTAAAAACTAATAACTGGTATAGGGATACAGAATTTTCGATGAGACTCGGTTAAACATATTTTAACATTTTTAAAATACATAGACCCTGCTATTCAAGCTTGCTTTATATTGGACTAAAAGTTGAAAATCCATTTTCGAACGCGAGAATTTTAACAAAAAAAAAAACCATCCCGTGGGTGTGTGAATGGGTTTTCTTTTCAATTAAAAAAGAATCATAAAAATCGGTTTAGAATTGACCAAATTATCGGGTAACAGACAAAAAAATACACTCAAAAACTTCCTCCTTTTTAGCCGGTTAAAAATACAATTTATATAGTCAAACGCGATGTTAGGATATATGCTCACCTCCAGTGGCGTCTGGTTCCTGTTTGACCTGATGTTGTATTTGTTCCATTAGTCGTTGTTGCTGGGTTAGCCGCCTCTGGCTTTCATACAATGTGTTCGCGTCTGCAAATGAGTTAACAAACATTCTAATATAATCTAGTATTCTTCTCTAACACAAAAATTACTTCAAAATCTTAATATAAAATACATCTAGTGTCGTTCTGAAGTGATAATTGCTTCTCTTTTGGAAGCAAAAAATCATTAAGTACACAGTGCGCTATCCATTATCTTGTTCATGTTTATGTGAGACCTTTACCATTTTTAACTGACTTTGAAAAGAAGGAGGTTCTCGATTCGGTTGTATTTTTTTATGTTTGTTACCTCATAATTCCGTCAGTTACAAACCAATTTGGAAAATTCTTTTTTATCTGAAAGGATATACTTACAGATTGGTTTCAAAGAAATGCTATCAAAAGCGATATAGTAGTTTAGTTTTTAGATCTAAATAACTCGTTTTGCTACAATTGAAGTCGTTTTTTTTACACAATCTTTATTATGAAGATTATAAATTGTATGAGCAGTCGCTTGACTGCTATTTTCAATGGAAACCTTTGGTTTTGTTTTAAATATATATATACATATATATATTTTTTAAGTATGGAATTTGGTATACATATACTATATAAGACGAAGGATGTAGGCTACTACATAAATAACTAATGATGCACATGAGGTAATTTCTTTTCCGAAGGTGAAGAAGCAACTAAGCTTAATGCTCATGAGATGGACAGCAGCGTCCCTCTTATAAGATCACCAAAACCTCACTGCTTTTACCAACACGCCTGCTAAACGTGGCAACTACTGGCAAAACCTCCCAATAGGGGGAAGTCTATATTCAGCAATGGACAATTAATGACTGATATAATGATGATGATGTGTGATTTGCATACATATATAATGCTAATGGCTATGGAATGCTGTACCAGTTCCCATACCAAATATAAAATGTCTGGTTAGTTTTAAAACAAAACTTAAGGACTTTTATTTGAGCAAGTTGTCATCTTCTTAATATGTTTATATTTCTGGTTAGCATACTTATTTCTTGCATACTTTTCGTGAACAGTATTTATATATTTTTATGTATTTGTGTAGGCGTTTATATACATGTATGTATGTGTGTATATATGTATGTATATATATATATATGTATATATATATATATATATATATATATATATATATATATATATATATATATATATATATATATATCCCCATTCAATGGTTGTTGAAAGAGATCGCTCTTAGTGATAAGGGGTCGCCCATTGTTTTCTGATTGTGATTATTTCTTGTAATTATTTATATTTATAATAAGTTTACTACTGTAATCTTTTGGAGGAAACAATAAAGAGTATCTATCTATCTATATAATTATGCAATAGATTTTTTTACCACACTTATGACAGTATGAAAAAACCGGGTCAGGACAAGTTTGACTTGTGTTATCAGTTTTCCATACTGTATTAATTAAATATTCTTACTAATAATATAAATGTTAAGTGAAGTTGTTTGTTATTTCTTGGCACCTTAATGACTTAACTAATCATTTGAAATTTGATTCAGTCATATATATATATATATATATATATATATATATATATATATATATATATATATATATATATATATATATATATACGACTTAGAATGGCAAACAAGCTGACGGTCACACCAGGAAATTCTCGCTATATCGCCTATACCCTTCAGTACCATGAAACACAGCCAACAAACACAACTGCTTCACGGTTGAAACACAGTGGTTGCCATTCCTGAGGACTCAGGTGTTACTTTCTATACCAGTATATTCACTGGTATATATTCCGGCCTTCAAAGCGAAACACAGCCATGCAAATAACAACTGTTCACGGTTATATAGTACATAATTTTATCTTCCCAAGCAATCGACTTTTGTACAAAGTCTCTCTCTGGTATATATTCCGGCCAAGCAGACGAAGTCGCAAATAAGAACTAGTACATAGGTATATAGTAATAATTTTATTTTCCGACATCACTTTTCACCTGTTCATGATATCATATGATAGATGAACCAGTCATGCTTTTCTTAACCAATTAGAAGTCAAATAAAAAGTACTGTTTCTTTTTTTATTTATTTATCTATTTAAGGAACACCAATTTTTTTTAATATTCTTTTTTTATACTAAAATAAGAGCATAGGAACTGAAAATACGAAAAAAAAATCAAATATAGTTATTTTCGTGAAATTATGGGGGTGTACTCAATTGAGTACACTGACCACCTCTATGTATGAAATATTTCAAAACACGCCTTTTCGACACAAAGTGTTTTTAAGCACTTTTTATACTGCCAACGCACTCTTGAATGTCAAAGGACACACTGCAGCTGTTTTTTCAATTTTAGTAGGATAGTGTCCAACTCCATCTTGACAAAGACCGCAGACTATTAATGCAGCCTGACGCGATCTTCTTCGATCACCTTGGCCTAAATAATATAATAATATGGAATAATAGCGATGTGACGAAGAAACATGAGTTGATCCATAGGATCATCGGTATGCATCACATGTAATCGCTAGGCATTAGCATTAGCTACGTCTTAACACGTAAGTGAACAACACCCACCACCACTTTTTATTCACAGCAATTCTATATAATGAAACAGACTGGTCAAGCTTATCCACGCTCTCATATTTTTGTTGTACGTTTAGAAGAAACGTGGCATCACCATGTCCATCTTTTCCTTCTTTATTCGACACCATCACTTGACTGTCTAGCGGTTTAATGGTATCATAGTTCGTTGCCATGGTACATACACTGTTATCTTTCCACCTTACCAGCAAAAGTTCACCTTTTTGTCAAACCTGTAGTCATAAGTGGCACGTTCTTTCTTTTTCATATCCTTTGTGCTAAGCCTAAGAACTTTTTTAAATCAGAGGAATCCAGTCGAAATTCATGTTTATTGTGTTGATGAACGTATAATTGGCCGTTTTCTATAATCATATAAATTATATCATTATCAATATTTTTTTCCAATATTTGTACAGAATTGAGGCCTTTCAGCTGTTCACAAATAGCACTCTTCCTATCATGGACTTCAGTAGTACTTTTGGCCGGCAAAGAGTATGTAGGAGAACACTTTCGCTAGATCGGGTTCGAATTCGAAGTAGATTGGCACTTCGAATTCGCTCGAGCCCGATCCGAGTAGAATCTAGTCGTATTCTTTTTGACACCAGCGGTTCATCATCACTATCGTCGTACGAGCTGTCTTCCCTATCGCTATCCTTTTGGTTTGTAAATACCTCAATAGTGCTAGGAACATCTAGCGGTATGGGACATGCCGCAAGACGTTCCTAGTACTATTTCCAATATCCAAATTAGTTCCAATATCCTTATCAGTGCCTTCCTCCTCATCTGTCACCGCACTTGGATCAGGTGGGATGATCGCCAAGTCATATTCACTCTCATCGCTTTCTTCTAAAACAGCTTCAATCGCTGCTCCAAGCCTCTTGTAGCTCGTTCGAGTTTTAAAATGCTTTTTTTTTTATTGTTAAGAATTTGAAAAAAAAAAAACAGTTATTTTACTTACTTATGTTGTCACTGTACTCAACCGAGTACACCAACATTTACATGGCTCTTGTTTTATTTCAGTTATAAGTAATTATTGCATTATTGTTTATAACTTATCTTGATACATATTTTATACTAATGAAATGAAAAAAAATCAACTTATAAACAGTAATTATTAGAAAATAACTAAAATAACGAACTTACCTCCACAGTGTCTCGATGATACAACTTCAACTTACACTTTTTATCATAAAAAAATCACACTACCCTCGTAATATTTGTCAATATACTTGAACAGTTGATTGATAAAGTAAAATAACAAGGTAGTCTACGATAACTTTACGCGATCTGTAACTGGCACTTAAGTATATGCCTGTACTCACTCGAGTACAGTGACTTCTAATGGATTAATCAGGAATTACTTCAACAAGTTACCAAATAATATAATAAATCTTATACACTCACCTAATTGGTCCTTAGATCGTTCGTACATAAATTTGTCATCCTCAACATTCAAGTCTATCTCTTGTTTTATATGATTCTCGTTAAAAAAATTCTCATTTCCCGTTATACGGTGCTGTTCTTGCAACATTTGCAAGTTGTGTTGTTGATTCCTTAACATCTCAACGCTATCCTGATACCCGTTTTGGTATCCAGCGTAATCAGCCCTCTGGTATTTGTCGAAATTGTATACATCCTTCTGATATCCGTTTTCCGGTAATGGTTTCTGATAAACGGTATCTAATACCGGTTTCTCGTAACCATTGTGTGATTTCCTTTCCAGTGCATACTTCTCGGCTTCTTTGTTGTACTCCTCGTTTGTTTGTGGTATGTAGTCATCATCATTTTTTGTATAATCTTTAGGTGCGTCGTAAGATTTTGGATTTTCATATTCCGGATCTTTGTACTGTGTGATGGGATACTCTACTGATGGCTCACTGCAGCTGTTGTTGGGTTGGGTATCGTCTTCCTCGGACTGTACAGGCTCGGTTTGCATGATGGCGTCTTGTTTTTTCGGTTTTACGCCCTGGTTTTGTGGTGTAACATTGTCGGCTATCGCGTGTAGAGTCTGTAGACGGTATGCAAGCTGTAACATAGACATAATTGAAATTAGTTAATTGATTTTGTCTCTATTTAGTATGATCATATGGTATGATACATGGAATCAAATTTATGAAACATTTTAGTACATACTCTTATATAAACATATCCCCTTATTAACTAAACATATAATCTTATGTTCATTTTTTAACAATATATAACGGGAATTTTAGGAACTTATTATGCATGACACCATTCCAAGATTAGTTTGCAATCTTAAACAAAATATATTAATATCATGATTAATTAAAAGAAGAACGATTGTAATTATTATATATTATAAAAACACACTTTTATAAGAATAATAATAATAATATAAAACTGTTTAAATGATGTGGTCCGAAGGCGTGCACTGGGGGTACATATCATTTTTTTTTTATTTTTAAATTACACGCAACACGGCCAAGGTAATTCTTTAAAAATTCCTGGACTGGACGACGATAATCGTTTACCAGCTTGTTTGTCACCATTTTTTTATCATTGCGAATAATAATATTAGTAATATGCTGTCATTCATTTTGTATGGTACTTTTAAGACTAATTTTTACCCGTGGCTTCATGCGAAAACCCCTCGCCGTATCTCTTAGGTTATCTTTACTAACGGGAAGGTTATCACTCCTTTAGCGGGGGCAGGGGGGTCGGCATTTATTATAATCTAAGAGTAAGCGATATGGGATAGTTATCTGGTGGTAGAATTTTGTCGAACACCACCATCTTATCTATTCCTATCATGAAGTAGTATGTGTGCGTTGATTCCGTCTTATGATTAATATATACAGTGCAATCTATAATGCATGAGGCGTAAATACTATAGTATTTAACGGCGTCGTGTTGGAGTTGCCAAAGATACCAATATATTCTGTATGTCCGGGATTGTATATGTTGTTTATTGGCGACAGTTGCCGCTTTCTACAATGGGGAGGGGGGGGGGGGATAATAACAAGCGATTGCTCGTGGCGTTAACTACTCCAAATTTTTTTTATTAGTGTATTTGTCCGTCCCTAATCCTCACATGCACTATCTGTTTACGTCGCTAAACAGTTACAGCCTGCAACACCAATTTTATTTGGCATTAATGACTCAAAAAAAACTTCATTCACCCTTACCGGTACTCCGTCAGCGTATACCGTAAGTGCAGGCAGGATTATCATCTGATTTTATCTCATTCAAAAAGACTCTGAAGAAAGCTTAATATGCCATTTTAATAACCCTAACACCCTAATCCTATTACAAGATGGCCTAAACTTATCTGTCTCTATGTTCTAACTCTTATTACGAATCAATTATGCGAATCTTACACACTATGTGCATTCTACTGTTATAAACCCTGTAAAAATAAATAACTTACGTTGGAGTCCAGGGGCTCTGTGTTGTTGAGCGCGCTCTCTGACATGTTGATGACAGGTGTCGTGCGGTGGATGTGATTGACGGGCATATTCCACTTGTCCGCTTTGTCACTGCAATAAGAGAGTAGTATTTGATTGACAATGGCTCTTACAGCAAATTGAGAACCTCAAAAATCGTTAAGTCCGAATCGAAACCATACTTCGAATTTTGTATGGATTACGCAACGCCCATAAGAACATTCCGTTCCATCACTATCCAACGCAGTAATGTTGGAGGGAATGGATTATCAATAATGAAGTTCCCATTGCTAACAGTATACTCTGTTAGGTTAACCTCTATGCAGTTTTTCCTAGAAACCATTGTAATTAATTCTTGGTTAATTCATCAATCATAGCGTATACCAATAGCATAGGCGAGATTATCCTTTCATCATTAACAAGTTAAAAAAACGCTTTAAATACTATAACTAAACCATCAGTAACAACATTTTACATGTGATTTTGTGACATTTTACAGTGAATCTGTGGACCGACAACGGTTGCAGCAGATACAACAGTATTTAGTTCTTTTCTTTTCTATTCGTGACTGACACGGTCCTATTACGGTCCGGATATGATAAAAATAGTACACATTTAGTCCACTAAAAGTGATTTAACATAAGACAAATACAAATAAAATCTCAGGTTAAAGACAAACACACGAAAACAAACTCTTGATAATCGATCCTGAGGATGACTCGATCTTCATCATCATCATCTATTGACAAACTATATCAACATCAAACTATTGTATTCATACTCAATGTATTTACGCTAAATATAGCAAAAATTCGATATCATCTTGTCTTCATCATCGGAAAAATTAGAATAACATATTTACAAAATCATTATGATTAATACCGTATAGTTGCCCAATAAAGTTCAATAGGGATCTATTAGTGGCTACTGGGTTAATACGACGCCCTTAGGTTCCATCAGGGTTATACATCGTATCATGGTTCGCGTAGTGAAATACATAATATATTTTTATTCAGTTTATATGATTTACTTATTTTTATAGTGCCTATAAAGATGCCTATATAATAAGAGTTTAAACAATTATATTGTTCAAGGTCACTGTCTGTATCTGTTTCTCCTTCTTTAGCTTTCTATTTCATTAGTCGCAAACGGTTTTTGATACGCATTATCAGTCACGTACGATTTGTACAAATGCAAAGGCAGGGCAATATAATATACTTATATATATAAATTCAAACAATCTAGAGGGACACAAACAACAAACCAGAGGGAGACTTTATACAAAAGTCGATTGCTTGGATTGTTGGCAATTGTGTTTGCATGGCTGTGTTTCGGTTTGAAGAGTGGGATATAGCGTGAATTTACTGGGTACAGAGGAATAACACCAGAGTCCTCAGGAATGGCAATGCATGGGGGGTATCATGGGCGAAACAGTATACTCTGTTATGTCCATAATACTGCTTATTTCTATAGGCGACAGTTACCACTTTCCATAAGGTGGGCCGTCAGCTTGTTTGCCATTCTAAGTTGTATAAAAAATATCTGTACTAAATAAAAGCTTGTAACGTACCATAGAAGTCCAAGATTACTACAGCTGAAGACAAGTAGAATACAAATGATCTATGTTAAATTACCTTTGGACCTCCTCTTTTTTGGTCTCCCTGTACTTGACTGTGCGACTCTTCCTGATGACCATGACGGTGCCATCAGCGTTCAGCTTAGGCAGGTTCTGTGAGGGCACCGCGTCTTTACTCAGCGTCTTCCATTGGCCTGAAATTCGATATAGTCATTGTTGAATATAACATGTTATACTCGTGAACGGATGCTGTTTTTAGGAGATTGGACTGCTCTAGCTACGACTAAAAACATCTTAATTTTTTAAGATTGTCTCCCACTGTTTGCTAGTTTATATTAACATAGTTTCATCGTGCTACTATTATAAATGCAAAGTTTTTGAAAACATATGGATGGATGATTGCTACTCCTTGATGCAAAAAGTATTAAACAGATTTTAATAAAATATATACTAAATATAGATAGATTATATTCTAACAAAGAAAATATTATATACACACGCGAGCGTAGCCATGGGAAATAGATAATAATTTCTAAAAATAAAAGGAATATTAGTGTCACAAAAACTAAAGTACTTCCAACCATTTCAACATCTACCACAGTATCGTATTATTATTTTCTAAAATTTCTGCATGTGCAGAAATAGAGCATTCACAATTTTCATATATATAAATAACTGGATTCACTGTCGAGTACATGACGTAATATATGATAACATTGTATAATATAACTTGGTAGTAAGCATCGCCATTGAAAGCGACTGTGAACTAGTAAGCAATGGAAAAAAAGCTATAATTCTTGCTGCTTTTTGTAATAATATATATATATATATATATATATATATATATATATATATATATATATTTTACCAGAGGGAGACTTTGTACAAAAGTCGATTGCTTGGGTACCTCTGTCCCATTCGTGTTTCAACCGTGAAGCAGTTGTGTTTGCATGGCTGTGTTTCGGTTTGAAGGGTGGGATAAGCGTGAATTTACTGGGTACAGAGGAATAACACCTGAGTCCTCAGGAATGGCAACGCATGGGGGGTATCATGGGCGAAACAGTATACTCTGTTATGTCCATGGTACTGCTCATGTCTATAGGCGACGGATACCACTTTCCATCAGGTGGGCCGTCAGCTTGTTTGCCATTCTAAGTTCTATAAAAAAAAAAAAAAAAAAAAAAAAAAAAAATATATATATATATATATATATATATACTAGCTGACTCGGCAAACGTTGTTTTACCATATACATATATATATATATATATATTGCGGCATATAAAAATCGCGATTTAAAAACAGGGGTTGAACGTAAAAGCGTGAAAATTTGAGGTTGTATGTATTTTTCAATTTGGTTGTATGTATTTGCTAAATCATAATAAAATAAAAATGGAAAAATTTGTCAAAAAAATAAAAAAAAATTTTTGGGGTGAATTACCCTTATCATTGAGGGGTATAAAAAATAGATGTTGGCCGATTCTCAGACCTACCCAATATGCACACAAAATTTCATAAAAATCGGTAAAGCCGTTTCGGAGGAGTTTGGTAACAAACACCGTGACACGAGAATTTTATATATAGTTAAGATATATGTAAGAGAAGGCTTTGATGTTTAAATCTTATGACAATAAACTTCGGATATATATAATATAATATAATATCGGATATATAAGCATAATGTATTTGGCACACGATATTCTCTGTCAAATATGGCATGGAGTATAGATAGATTTTATTTAAAAGTTTTTAATAAAATTATTGGATTGAAAGTTTTGAATCTATATATTTTTTATTATCATCAATTAATATAATGACAATAAATTCAATGGGTTCTAATTTTTGATGACTCTTAATATTCGACTCGATGATATCAACACTAGAAATTCTGTGACAATATCCGGACTCCATCATTAGATCAGCTCTTAGACAGTACAATATTTATATTCATATTTGCTTTATGTAGCTTTGACTTCGATTCCTGATCTTTCACAAACTAATTAAAAAAAATTGCATCAAAATTTAATACATGCAAGTTTCATTCATGTACACCAACAATATCACCATTTCTAATTTAGTGAATTATTTGGGCAATTATGAGTAATCATTGTGTTTTAATAGTCGCGATAACAATAATTAAATGGGTTAATCTTATAGGTTCAGAGCCGTGGTGCGACATTGTGATTTTTAATTCTTTAGTCTAAAGTCTAGTTTCGGCGTATGTGCATGAAAGTTTTTTTAAAAAGAATAAAGCAAGAGATTGTCTAAAAAAGTTGCAAATAATCTCTAGCATTTATTACTTGGTTGTTTCAGTTAACCCCTGGTCGCTACCTGGCATGAAAATTCACACTAATGTAGATAAAATTAATAGTAAGAGTTTAAACATTTTAACTTGAATGCCTAAAATGTAATATTTTCAGGATTCATTGTATGAGTTTTTTTTATTCCACCATAACTTCTATATGCCTGAAAAAATTTGGATATATGGCATCGTCAATCCCGAGTGACAGTGGCTACATTTTTTTTTAAATAATTCGTTTTTGGCATGGCGGTCATACAATATACGGAGCAATAATGGATTCTTTTTCTGGATTTTTTTTTTATAAGAAAGCAAAAGAAATGAATAAATAGTTTTTTCGAATATACAACAATTAAAGTTGTGATGAAATTTTCATAATTAAAAATTATAGATATGGATATTTTCCTTTTCATACTAATACTACTTCCACAGCATTATTTTGCTATTGCATAAAATATATCACTTTGCTTATTTATCTGTGTTTGTTACGTTATCACGATTAAACGTCTGGAACGATTTAAATCAAACTTGATACCTAGATATAACGTAAACCCCAATATTCAAAACAAATTTTTACAAAATCGCGATTATAATCAGAACAAATCCAATGAACTGATGATTCTTTATCTGTCTGCGTAGTACACCAGACAGTAATTATTGAACAGATTTTGACAGGTCTTGTTACTATTGCCATAAAGCTCTTTATAATAAGAATAGTAACAATACTGTTTCCTGTCTCTTCAACTTATGTTAATTTTTCAGTATTCCCATCTGTCTTCTTAAAGATTCGCACTATACAATTGAGTAACATATATATAAATACTTTAATAGTTTAACAGTTATTAAAAATAATGGGACATCGAGAGAAAACCAAGTAAGTCATTCATGCAAAGTCACAAAAGTACATCGTCAGAGGTCACATCCTCCAACAGTATTTATGTTATGATGATGTAACATTGTCATATTGCATGACAATGTAAAATGAAAACCAAAATATACTAAAATAATAATTTATAAATAATAATTACCCCACGAATAATAAAATCGTGAAAGTGTAAAGACGTTTGGAAATTATGATCTTTGAAAAAAAATACAGACTTTGAAGGTCTAAGTTCAATCAATGACCTAAGCGATCATTTATTTATACATTTACATAAGTATATAAAGTATTATTTATATTGACGATTGTAAAGTTACATAAAGCGTAATCACTAAATAATAGCTGTAAATATACCTTGGTATTACAAATTGAAATTGTTGAATTTCGAAAGGTACAATTACAATGAGAATTAAGGCAAGGCGAATTCGGTATATCCAATGTGAATGTTTTCTATTGATGACTTCTAATTAATGAAAATGAAGTGTCCATACCCATCTGCGTATTGGTATATGCTAACGGAGCGTTAGTGAATAATGACAAACAATAATGTCAGGTTAGATGGTTCGTCGTAACGAATTCTACCAGGACTAAAACATGGTGGAATCCAAAGAGACAACGTCGAGATCAAACTTGAATTTGAAATCAATTAACCTAATGCAATATATTACTCGAAATGGTATCATTCAACCCCATTAATAACAATGGTGGACTTCGGAGTAAATGATACAATTATCCTTAAACATAAAGTGAAGACTAACAAACTACATTTTCAAGTTTTAAGTCTTTATGAGCTAGACAGAGTAAAAAGCATACAAACAACCGCTCTGATATGCTTAACACAGAAAATGTTGCCATGTAGTGTAAATTTGTAATATTATTTCATAACTCGTCGCATGCATGAATCTTAAGGAGATCTCCATAAACAATATTTGATTTCAATGTGACCTAAAACAGTCTATATTGGTGTGTTCGTAGGATTCTGATGTATGATAATGAAATCGTAAATCCGCCTGCACAATTGGTATACGCTGGCGGGGTACCAGTGAAGAGTGATAGGTGAAAATGAAAACAAATCAGTCAGCCTATCGTGACGAATTCATTATCATCATCATATCAGCTTTTAACTGTCCACTGCTGAACATACACCTGCCCCTACGGGGGTTTGCCGGTAGTTGTCACGCTTGGCGGGTGGGTTAACAATCGCAATTAGGCCTTTGTAACGTTTTAAGAGGGACGCTGCTGCCCATCCCTCGCCCTCCCTTAGTCGCATCTTATGACATCCATGGGAAAGAAGGGTGGCTTATTCTCTGCTGGAATACCACGTGACGAATTCATTAAGAATTACCCACAATGGTTTCCAGGAGAACCGAGTCGAAGTCGACCTGACAGTGCATAATGCCAGTAATAGGGTTAATGAACCTCATTACTAACAATCCCGCACCTCTGTGTCGCTAGGGTGGGAATATATTGTAATGTGATGGCCCGCATTTGGCTTCGACTTCAAAATTTGACAGAGATCAAATGCAGAAGGGACAAGCATTCTGGGTAAATACAGGAGTGTCTACTGCCCAGTATATGGGCTAGAGGAATGGAGAGGCACTGAATGTGTCCTATTGTGCCCTTTTGTAGGGCAGAATAGAGGGGCGACTACGAACACTACGAACACGATATAGGTTATTAGGAAAAATCTTGTAAAATATGTATAAGTTATGGCAAACTATGACATTCACGAAAGGTAGAGAAATACATTTCCAAATGACTTAAAAATAGAAGAAGTTAAACTGTGTTTTCTCGTATATTACACGATATCTTTACCTATTCTTCACTAATTTTGGCAATCGATAGAGTTAACTACAATGTTTAACTTAGTTAAAAATTATTTATCATTTATATTAGTCAATATCTAAATCAGTTGCTTCTATTATTTACGACGATCTTCTTGTATATTTCATAGATATTTATAATAGAATTTATATGGTAAAGATCTATTTAATGAATGTAGGTGGTTACATTCA